TACCATCAATCAGAACTTTTCTATCTGAAATATGATAAACTATATTCGATAGTACATGATGTGTTAAAATATTACATCCTTCTCTAACTAAATTATTAAAAATATTAAGATAAATAGGAATATATACATGTAATAAAATATAAGAAATATCATCAATAGTTTCAATTGCCTCATCTGTATAACAATGTTTACTATACGTATTAAAATAAATAGATATAACTTGCCCTATACACATTTTGTTGCCATATTTTACAAATACGTATTGTCCTTTTATTAATAAAAATTCTGATGTTATATTGGCATTTTCAATATTCAGAACTAATAAATTAAAATAATCTAATAAGAATTTAACTAATTAAAATAATAGCTATAATGATTAATAAAAAAAACTTACTTTGAATTATACTTAAATTTTTTCTTTTGTTTGGTGTTGACTTTGATTTTTTTATTTCTTCAGAATATAATTGCACAAGTATTAAAACTATGTTTTTTCTATTGTCTTTCCATCTTTTTTCTCGTTGTATAACAAATCTTTGCTCTGGATTAACATTTTTTTGTAAAGTATACTACAAAATGACTTGCTTTATTTGGCTAAATAGAGATATTATTAGTATTAGATAAATTTAAACTTGATCCTATCGGTTTAAATTTTCTTTCAAGAGATTTTGAATAATATGCATCATGTAATCTTCTTTGATTAAGTAATAATTCAAAATTTAGATCATTATCAATAAGAAACTTGAATTCATTATTAACTATTAATTAAAAAAATACATATAAATTAATATAAATATATAATATAATTATCGCTCTTTTCAATTTAGTTAGATCAATAATTTTTTTAGGTTTGTGAGTTTTGTAATTACAATACTGGTGAATTTAGGTGAGTATCTATATTGTAATCATAAAACTTACAGGACTCCAAAAAAAATTATAAAGATTATTGATATAACTAAATTAAAAAGAGTAATGAATATTATAAGAAATAAAATAAACATACTACTATCACCATAATTTAAGATTGCTATAGTATTTTGTAGTTTCATTAAGTAGTTAAATTTGAGAATATTCATCATAAAAAATATTTTCGATTTCAAGTTCTATTCTAATTGTTTGCTTATTTTTTGTATTTCAGAAGAGGCATCATTAATTGCTGTAGACAAATTAATTTCACAATCTTCAGATGTTTCACTTTCATTGTTTACACTATGACTATCCATTAAAATATCATCATTATTGTTATCTATAAAAATTATAGGAACATATATATCAACTAGTAATTTAATCAGTTGAATCATTTCAAGAAATTCAGCAAGTTCACTTGCTAATTGTTGTGAATGTTGAAATGTTTGTAATATTTGTTCATCTGTTGGCCAAATTTGAAGTTTATAAATTGATGATTCATTTAAAAATCTAGAATTGTAATCAAAATTGTAACCTATAAAATAAAAAAATAATTAAATTAATTAAACTTATTTACAATAATTATAAA